GCTTCCTCTGCACTTCGCTGACTGTCCGTCTGTCCGTGACTGACTCACAGTCGACAAATAGCACTCACTTGCTCCCACCCCTGTGCACCATCGTGCGTACCATTTTGGGGTTTCTCTTCGCTACCTTGCCCGGCTCTCTGCGTGGGCAGTCTCGTTGGAGATGGCCCGAACGCCCGCAGAGCCAGCACTTACGGCCACGCCCACCAGGCATGTACACCGCGTCCAGTGCTTCCAGAGCCGCAACGACGTCACGTGCTTCGAGACCGCTCTTAACACCCGTCAAGGCCCACATAGCCGGCACGTCATAGGCATCGCTGATCCCAGCGGCGCGTATGATGCGCAAGGCTTCAGGGGCTGAGGGATGTACAGCACGCAGCAGCAGCTCATAGATGTAGCTGGCATCAGCCTCGTACTGCTCGTTGCTGACCATTCGCAACGCAGCTCGCATACCCTTGTCGATGAGATGGCTGAGATTGACGCGAGTCATCATAACCATGAAGCTGCAGCGCCATACCGCATAGCTTGCGGCCTCGCCATCCCATTTGGGGACTTCCTCGACCTTCGGTCGTTCGAGCATAGCCACGATCGGTGTGTGCTGGGCAGGTCGACGCACTTCGAGCATGGTTTGCTGCAAACCAACAAGTCCTCGACGTGTCGCATCACACCCGATCAACATGCTTTCCGCCTCAGTCTCATTCATCTGCTGATGGGGTCGCATCCTGGTCACCCAAGCGGGCATGGTAAGAGCCTTGCCACGGCCGCGACCGACCATAGAGATGCCGCCACCAGATGAGACACAGCGTTCCACACCAGATGCGTCGCATGATGTCAGACTCTCCCACTTGAGAGCGAAGGCGCATAGCTGCTCGAGAGGCGAGGGCTGTTGACCTTCCTCTTGGCCATTGTGACCACCGGAAGCACCACCTCCCTCCTCCTCGAGGCAGAGATCTGCCACAGCAGCCTTCACGCCACCCATCTCGACATCACCGACTGTGGCGTCCACCTCAGTGTGTTGGTGTGGGTCGTGATCACCCTCTTGACGAGGCGTGACCTCACCACTCAGACTCATGCTGAGTCGAACCACAGCACACACACAGAGATCTGTGTTCTGGTGCTCGACAAGCCTTCTCCCCTTGGGAGGTGCTCAGTGGGCTCTATAACCTGTTGAAGAAACGTGACTAGCTTCAGCGGGTCAAGAGTTAAGAGCCAGGCTTGACAAACAGCACAAACACGTCCGAAGACGCCAGGTGTGTGTGAGGCGATCGTATAGGGTTCCTAGCTCCAAACCCTCGGGTGTACGCGGCACTTTTAATTCGTCTGGGCTAGGGTACGCCTTTCTCTTAGCTCTTGCGAGCTGCGGGCGTATCATTTCCTCAACACCCCTCTTCGCACGCAGCCCACCCCTCACTATCACGTAAGAGAGAGCACGAACACTCACTGCAGATCTCCAGCTTTCCAGAAGCGTTGACCCACCGGGCCCTGCTGTCTGCAGTTGAGATTCTGCTGTCTGCGGGCAGCACTGCTATACATTCCGAGTTGCACATCTCTGCTGGTGCGCAGCGGGGATCATGCACAGCGTCGGCCTCTTCGTGCTCAAGAGTCAGGGCCGTGTGCGCGAAAGAAGGACGGCTGCTGTGCCAACCCACCAAATCACAGCACCTTTCGGAAGGGAGAGTGCGCGTTGCTTCACCCAACTACTCAGGTGAGCACACACGAAGACCTGTGGGTCTCTTCCTTCCCTAGTCCAGCTTCCGCTTCTTGTGGCTCT